GAAACGGCTACTTCACGAACACTTTCTTCCTACAGATTATGAGCAGTTGCTCTATATGCAATATCAGCATTGCCATCAGGGAAATAGATCGGTTAACGACTACATGGAGGAGTTCTATTGATTGAGTGCAAGAAACAATCTGAACGAATCGGCAAATCAGCTAGTTGCTCGTTATGTCGGGGGCCTGAAAGAAGCAATTCAGGATAAACTTGAGTTGAATGCCGTATGGTCACTGTCTTAAATAGTGAACTATGCTTTGAAGGTGGAGATGCAGTTGGCAAGGCATAATAGGGGCAGCCAAGGAAAAAGAATAATGGAACCTGCAGCTGATAGCAATAGATCTACAACTGTGAATGTTAACCATGTACCACAACCCTCACCTCCTGGAGTTCAGATTGCTGGAAATAATAACAACAAAAATGTTGAAGTGAGAGTGAACTCAAGATTCAAAGGTATGGCCAAAGACAACCCGTATGCGAAACCGACCACCATCAAATGTTTTAGATGCGTTCAGCAGGGACATAAATCAAATGAATGCTGAACAAGACTGCAAATTCAGTTGATTGAGGCAGAAGATGAGGAAGGATTAGATGATGGTGAAGGAGAAGTAAATACATCTCATGAAGACGTGGGAGGCGATGAAGGTGAACCTCTTGTTTGTGTACTTCATAAACTTTTATTAGCTCTCCATCACCCGAATAAATTGCAGCGGAATGCGGTGTTCAGGACCAGATGCATAATCGGTGGTAAGGTTTGTGACTTATTGGTTGATAGTGGTTGCATGGAAAATGTAATATCCAAAGCCATGGTACAAACGTTACAGCTCAAAACCACGAAAAATCCGAATCCATACAAGATTGGTTGGGTGAAGAGAGGCATGAAGATGATCATCACAGATATGTGCCGAGTTTCCTTTTCTATTGGAAAACATTATGCTAGCGAAGTACTTTGCGATGTGGTTGATATGGATGTTTGCCATATCATACTTGGGCGGCCGTAGCAATTTGACGTGGGGGCAACGCATGATTGCAGAGCCAATACATATGCTTTTGAATGGAAGGACAAGAAGCTTAGGTTGCTGCCCAACAATCAAGAAGGTAACTCTTTGGTGGCTAATGATAAAATTGCTATGTTCACTGTGAAAGGGAATCAATTAGTGAATGCTTGGAAAGAGTCAACCGAAATCCTGGCTATAATTGTAAAGGAGCAGGAAAATGCCTCACTTCCTGCAACGGTTCCGAAAGCTGTGGAGACTTTGCTACATCAATTCTCAGATTTGGGACCTGATAAATTGCCTAACAAACTACCGCCGATCCGAACTATTCAGCATCAAATTGACTTGGTGCCTGGAGCAACACTGCCCAACCTGCCGCATTATAGATTGAACACCCGACTGAACATCAAATTTTGCAACAAATAGTGGATGAATTGTTAGAAAAACAACTTATACAGCATAGATTGAGCTCGTGTGCCGTTCCAGCTCTATTGGTGCCGAACAAGGGCGGCAGTTGGAGAATGTGTGTAGATAGCAAAGCAATCAACAAAATAACTGTTAAATTCAGATTTCCGATGCCATGTTTTGAAGAGATGTTGGAGAAATTAGCGGGTTCACAGATATTCTCTAAGTTGGACTTACGGAGTGGCTATCATCAAATCAGGATTTGGCAAGGCGATGAATGGAAGACGACATTTAAAACGCGTGAAGGACTCTACGAATGGAAGGTGATGCCATTCGGTCTATGTAATGCACGGCAACCTTCATGAGGCTTATATTATGAAGTTTTAAAATCATTCCTAAATAAATGTTGTGCGGCCTACTTCGATGACGTGCTAGTCTTCAATAGCAGCTTGGAAGCCCGTTTACAACATTTGAAGGCCATCTTTGAAGTCCTAAGGAAGAATAAATTATACTTAAATATTCCCAAATGTGAGTTTGCAGCACAAGCTGTGCTGTTTTTGGGGTTCAGGATCTCAGTTGAAGGAATATCAGCAGATCCAAGAAAGGTGGCAACAATACTTGATTGGCCAACTCCAAAAACTTTCTCCGATATAAGGAGTTTTCATGGACTGGCGAATTTCTGTAGGAGGTTCATCAAAGGGTTCAGCATTATTTTAGCTCCGATCACTGATATTTTGAAGCTCAAGCAATTCCAGTGGAAGGATGAGCATCAGAAAAGTTTTGAAACTATTAAGAACCTATTATCTACAGCACCAGTCCTCACTCTACCCAACTTTGATAAGCCATTATCGGTTGAAACGGATGCATCCACGGTGGGAATTAGAGCTGTTTTAGCACAGGATAATCGGCCCATGGAATTTTTCAGTGAAATTATGCCCTTCAAGACAACGATGATCGGTTTACAAACAAGAACTGTATGCAGTCGTAAGAGCATTAAAGCAATGAGAACATTATTTATTGCATCAAGACTTTTTCTTATGCAGTGATCACAAGGCTTTACAATACATAAATTCCCAGAAAAACATTAACCGAATGCATGCGAGGTGGATCTTGATCTTGCAGAAGTTCACATTCGTGCTGAAGCACAAAAGCGGAGCCCAAAATCGAGTGGCTGATGCTTTAAGCCACCGGTCAGCTTTGATTACACAGTTGCAAACAGAGTTTGTGGGATTAGAGAGCCTTTGTGACTTGTATGCCGCAGACAAAGACTTCGCCAAAGTTTGGTTTAGCTGTATCAACAAGGAGCCAATAGAAGAGTATTCCATAAGGCATGGGTTTTTATTTAAAAACAATTTGCTCTGCATCCCCAATTCGTCCTTGCGTTAACTACTCATACAGGAAGTACATAGTGGAGGTCTAGCAGCTTATGTTGGGCGTGACAACACGCTGGTGCAAATGCAAGCCAAGTTCTATTGGCCACATTTGAGGAGAGACGTTGCTAGATATGTAGAGAGATGCTCTGTATGCCAGACCTGCAAGGGAGGGGGACAAAACACCGGCTTGTATCAACCATTACCTGTGACAGATTCAATTTGGGAAGATCTAAGCCTCGATTTTGTACTTTGGTTGCCGCTTACAAAACATGGAAATGATTCCATCATGGTAGTTGTGGATCGATTTTCAAAAATGACACATTTTGTAGCGTGCAAGAAGACTTTTGATGCGTTGAACATCGCTAAACTCTTCTTCCGCGAGATTGTAAGGCTACACGGAGTGCCAAGCCTTACATCAGACAGGGATATGAAGTTTCTAAGCCACTTTTGGCGGGAATTATGAAAGAGGCTAAGTACACAACTTCAGTTAAGCTCTGCTTAACACCCGCAGACGGACGGACAGACCGAAGTAGTGAATCGAACACTGGGAAATCTACTCCGCTGTTTAGTGCAAGAACAACTGAAAGTTTGGGATGAAGTTCTCGGCCAAGCTGAATTTGCCTTCAACTCGATGTCAAATTGATCTACGGGTATGTGTCCATTTAGCATTGTATATACAAAAATGCCCAACACTTGTGTTGATGTTGCAGTAATTCCAAAATGTAAGAGCAAAGCGGCTTCAAAATGGTTTGATCAATTCGCTGAGATGTTAGCTAAGGTTCGTCTTAAGCTGCAAAGTTCTAATGATAAATATGAGGCGGACGCTGATGTTCACAGGAGGAAGAAAATATTTAAACCAGGAGATCTCGTTTGGGTTCGATTGAGAAAGGAATGATTTCCTGTAAGCACCTACTCGAAGCTCAGCAAGAGGAAATTTGGGCCCTTCTCAGTCGTCAGCTGTATTAATGATAACGCATACGTTGTTCAACTTCCAGCAGACTTTAACACTTCCAGTACATTTAATGTGGCCGACTTATAACCTTATCATCCTCCAGGTGATAGTTCTGTTGTTGTTGAAAACCAAGTTGTAGCTGCAACTCTTTTTTGTGCAAGGGGCGTATGATGCGGAGCATCATTAGACGAAGGAGTTGGGGTATACTGGACCGCAAGCGATTTGCACATGCTCTGCTTGGTTTCCACTTTCTTTTATTCCCCTTTTAGTTTGTTAGTACTTGAGTTCGTTTCTTTCTTTTAGTCCTTATTAAGTATAGTTATTACAGTAATTAGTTATGCCAATAGGTTTTACTTTTCAGCAATTACATATAGGAAGGGAAGTAGAAAGATGAGTTTTTGATAGTTTTATAAAATACAGAGAAGTTTGCTCTTCACTGTTCCATTGAAGTTCTTCTTGCTTGCTAGTGCTAATCTCTCACAGGACACTACATCACACTTGCACGAATTATTCATCTAATTGGTGCACACAGGACTTAAAATTAGAAGAAGGGATTTTTAGAATCAATATTATTCAATTACATGTCTTAGACTATTTATTTAATACTCTTCAGCCCTATGTTTGACATGTTTGTCACAAGGGTCAATATAGTTTAAATCTTGGTAACCATTAAATTGAAACTTTGATTTTATTTTTTTCTACAATTCAAATTTGTGGTAGTAAAAGAAAAGAGAGAAAAAAAACCGTAAATCCCCATCCCATCAACGCGAACAACCCATAATAGGCATTTGCAAGGCACGGTGAAATAAAGTAATAATTGTAATAACTAGCCACAATAACAACAAAACCCGTATAAGATGCGGGTAAACAAAAGATATCATATTATAACCCAAGAAAGAGGCACAATTACGGACCTAGGGAGAAACATTACAATTATGTAGAAAGCGGCTATACTCTGCAGCATGACTCTTCACTCTTATATTTTCTGTTTATTGCTTAACCTTTGATTTCCTTTCTTTTTCCTGCCACTGATGATTGGATTCAATTGCTATCTCTGAGAGTTATGATGATGCACTGCTGTTATTCATCATGTTTTGGTAACTAATTTCAATGCTTAGTGATTGATGTGGTCTTAGGCTCTTAGCTATCTTTTGAGAAAATTCTTAAGTTGGAGTTTTTTTTTTTCTTTTTTTTTTTTATGAAGAAAATTCCCATGCTTGCCAAAAGAAAAAATAACAAACTTATGATTTCTTCTTTTTATGAACTATGAAAGCAGGAGGGAAGCAAGTGAGTGTTGTCGTGCCCCCTTTAGAAGGGTTAGCTGGAGGGGGTACTGCTTATGGATGGAGTGATGGTGGCCTTGAGGATTCAATTTTGTACACAGGCAAAGTCGATCCAACCAAAGTTCCAACAGCTGATTTGTTACATGTATGGTGCATGCCAAGCACAGCTAATATTGGACAACAAGAAATTCCTCGACCTTTGGAGAATGTATGGCTTACTTTTTCTTGGTAGTTTTATCTTGAAAACCATTTTTTGCAATTCTTTTTCTTGAAAGAGATGTATTGGGTTTTTCTTTACTTGCTTTCTTATTTATTTTGTTTGCTTCGGTGAAGCACTAGGTTGAGTTTTGCTGAATTATATAGTTATATTGTCACATAAGGGGAGTTTGCTGCATGATTTCTTCATGCTTTATTGGCATTACCCGAGTTTCATGTGCATTATTCACATATTTTATAAAATAAAATAAATTTGAATAGGCTAAAGAAAATCATTAGCCATCAAATAAATTGATCTCCATTAAAGATAATCACTCTTCTGGCAAACCTTAATTAACAAAATCCCTAAAATAGTGGAGTTAGACCAACTTAAAAACCCTTTCTTATTTTCTGAGGAATTCATGAAGAATAATCTATATGCTATATGTAAATAATCAATATACTTCTTAATGTATTCTCACTTGAATTTATATTAGAAGTTTAGGTTTTGAGAGTGATGTTCTCGGATAGGTATATTTATGTGCTTAGGTAAGAGAGACTAGTTTGATGGACTTTTAGTTCTATTAGGAACTTAGTTTTAGGAAAAGAGGGTTCTCTAGGATTTAATGAGAGTTTTGTGTACTTGATCAAGTTTGATGGAGTGGGTTTTATGCTCACAAGTAGCTTGCTTGGGATTAACGTTAGAATTTGGCCTTATGTAGTATCTTTTCATTCCCTGGTATAGAGGGAGAATGAGGTGCTTGGGGTAGGTTTAAAGCCTTAATTGCTAGAGGATAGTAGAATCTATCTTCTTAACTCATGAATAAACAACGGTTACATAACTACCTCTTCCTCTTAAAGGTGGCTGCTGATGAAAATATCATTTTAGTATATAGTTGAAATTTGAAGAAATATTAATAACACTTACACAAATTCAAAAGATTATAGATATATGCATTTTAAAATAGAGGAATAATAACCCTTACGAGAAGGATTAGCATCTCTTAAGGGGTATAATGCCATAATTACCTTTTTCATGTAGGCATATAGTTTTGATGTAGCTAACCCAAAGTGGTGTGATTAGCTCAATGTAGCTGTCCTAATGATTGTTTTGGTTGGCCAGTTGTCCTTAAGTGTCTCTTGAATCTTTCCCTTACATACACGTAACCTAGTTAGAGAAAGAATTTTCAATTCTTTTATAAGTACTACAACAACAACAACAACATCAAGCCTTTGTCCCACTACATGGGGTCGGCTACATGAATCTTTTTTCTCCATTGTGTTCTGTTAAAAGTCAAATTCTCGTTTAAATCTAATAAGGAAATATCAGTTCTAATATTCTCTAACCAAGTCTTTTTAGGTCTACCTCTACCTCTTAACATAAGTCAAATCTAATACATCTACTTTCCTAACAGGGTCATTGGAAGGCCGCCGTTTTATATGACCAAACCATCTAAAGTTACTCTCTCTAATCTTATCTTCCACTAGAGCTACTCCAAACTTTCACAAATATGCTCATTTCATATCCTATCTCATCCACTTAGCAGTGCTTTTATAAGTACTAGGTTAAATTTCTTCCTCAACTATGTAATATCCTGAATTTTCAAATTGAACCATTTTTTGATACTGCATTTCCTTCAAATGCTATTTGCGTGTAGTTATTAAGAAGGAAATAGCTAACTAAAGAAAGAATAGAGAAAAAAAAGTTAGTATCCTCACCCAACTGCTCTTAGCCTCTTCTAATGGCAATTCTTTAGGAATTGGCTAGCACCTTTAACAACAGTAAACTCCAGTTAGAAGTTTTCCAAACTCCAATTGTGGAGGAGGCCTTGAGCTTGGAGAGAAGCTCTAGGGTTGTGGGAGAATAGAATAAACGCAAGTAAAATTAAAATGGAAAATAAAGCTACTAAAGAAAAACAACACAATTCCCATAAATAAGTATGACGGTTCTGGCCTACAAGCCTACATGAAGGAAGAAGACATTATTAAATTCAAATTCTAACGTAAAGTTTTATCTTTTACATTGTTTTAACATATCTATCATTTACTTCTCACTTTAAACATTTGGAATTCAAAATGACAAGGTTGGTCAATAATTACAAGGAAGCAGTTTTGATGGCTGCTGTTTTAAAGTGGATGAAGGGGCAATTTCATTTTTAGGGACTTCATGGTGAGCCCTAATTATACCTTTTGATGTGCCCCCCTTTGAATTTGAATCTTACATGGAGTTGGTCTGTGGTTTTGAGATGTAGAATTTAATTGCTTTAATTCTTGCCCTAAATTGTGCCTTCATCTATGATGCATCAACACTTCTCTTCAATGAGGTATGCAGTGTCTGACATGCATCGGACACGACACACATCCAACCTGCCTCCAATACATATCGGACACGCTGAAGACATGCCCAATTAAACAAATATTAAAATTAAATTGGGTATACGTGTCTTAAATATTTTATGAAAATCTTTAAATATAATTTCTTATATTTTAATATTTATTTATTAAAAAATAAAAAATTAATTCTTTATTTCCTCTCAATAATCTCAAATCAAATGCCCACACTCAATACCCCATTCCCTAAACATACCATTTTCATTTCTATCTGCAGATCGTGGCTAGTGTTTCACAACAATGCTCAATGGCATCACAACATTAACATCCAATGCAGTCACAACATTAATGTTTCAAAACCATCTGAAAATCAAAGGTTGATGCTAGCAATTTCTACCTCTACAATCACACCCCTACGTCGTCTCGATATCTCATCTTTGACCAACATTATCTCAACATAGACGATCGACTCTGTGTCAACATCAACGCTTGATGCCTGACTTTTCATATCATTGTTTTATCCCCTCTCAACATTTGAACCATGACATTAATGTATAACTCCCGACATTATAATATTAATCATATTAAGCACAAATTTTAGTTAAATGATTTATTATTACTTAATTATTCTTAATATTTTGCTTACTCAATTTTTATAAACTATTTTTAAGATATAAAAAATATAACACTATATCCAATTCATGTCTATGTCCTATATTTTTAATAATTGATGTATCTCGTGTCTGTGTTGTGTTCTTGTCTATACATCATAGGCCATCATTGACTTGAACTTAGGATGGCTAGCTACATCATTATTGCATGGATAGTGAACCATCAACCACTAGTTATTCACATTGCAAGTAACTTCCAACTAAACTAACCTCCAATTAACTTTTATCTAACTTTTTAAACTGAAGATTACAATAATTAATGTTATAACAACATCATGCAAAGTGTTGAGATTTGACAACATTTTGGACCTTGGCTTCCTTTAAAATCCACTTGCATTCATCCCATCCTTGTTTGCGTGCTTGTTCTTGAGCCCATTTCTCCTGCAAATTTTATTAGTGGTCAAGTTGCCTGCATATTGATCAAGGCAAGCACCTACATCTTTCTCTTAGGAACATTTTAAATTATTTCAATGTTTGTTAGAATCTAAACTTCTAAACTAATTTAGTAGCTTACACACTTTTCTTAGATATGGCATTGCATCTAAAATCTCATAAAGCTGCAGTTGATATTTAAATATTTACTTAAGATGAGTGGGTGCATGCTGCACCCAATTTTATTTGATTTTGTTTGGAGAAATATGTTTTGAATTACGTTATTAGATATTTAGATTCATGCTAATTGCTAGTCAATTCTAATAACTATGTTGCTCCATGCAAGTTTTTTTTATATTTATATGGTGGGAGGGAAATGGATATTTTTTTGTTGCAAAAATTATGTACATGCCACCCAAAACCTGGCTACTTATGAAACTAAGGTCTAACTCTGAATAAAAAAAAAAAAAAAACAAACCTGCATATTTCGGAATGCCATGACTTTCTCATTAAGAATTTGATGAAAGGAAAACTATGACTGGTTTTGTTACACTCTTCCATCATTTAGGCGGTCATAAATGAAGGTCATTGGGTGTTAATTTAATAGGATTTAGAGGTGGTAGAGCTTTAAAGAAAATGAAGTGTGGAAAAACTAGTGGACCTGATAATATTCCAATAGTGGTGTGGAAATGCTTAGGAAATGAAGGAATTTCTTGGCTTACTAAACTTTTTAATATTATTTTGAATACTAAAAAGATGTCAGATGAGTGTGTTGATTCTTATTTTTAAGAATAAAGGTGATGCACAAGATTGTGAGAATTATAGAGGAATTAAGTTGATGTGTCATACTTTAAAACTTTGGGAGAGAGTTATGGAGTATAGGTTACGACATGATACTAATGTTTCTCAAAATCAATTTGAATTCATGTCAGGTAGCTCTACTATGGAAGCTATTCATTTATTGAGAGGTTGATGGAGAAGTTTATAGAGAATAAGGAAGATCTACACATGATATTTATTAATTTAGAGAAAGCAAATGCTAAAGTTTCAAGAGAAGTGCTAGGGAGAGTTATAGAAAAGAAAAGGGTTAATAATGCTTATATTCAAGTCATTAGGGATATGTATGCAGGAGCTTTTACTTGTGTTCAAACACAAGATGGTTTGACCAAGTATTTTCCTATTTCAGTTGGATTACATCAAGGATCATCCTTATGCCCTTATCTTTTTTCATGGATGTTTTCACTAGACATTTGCAAGAGGATGTACATTGATGTATGCTTTCTGTTGATGATATTTTTCTTGTTGATAAGACTAGAGAGGGAGTTGAAGGTAAACTCGAATTATGGAGGTCAACCTTAGAGTATAAAGTTTTTTGTTTGAGTAGATCTAAAACCGAATGCATTGAGTGTAATTTTAGTAGTAATAGACCTACTGAATGGAGATGGGAGTGTTGGGTGGGGGGGGGGGGAGGTTGTGACTTTGAGCGATCAAGTCATTAATAAGTGTACTAGTTTTAGATATCTTAGGTCTATTGTTCTGAGTGAATGGTGAAATAGATGGAGATATTATTAGTAGAATTCAAGTCAGATGGTTGAAGTAGAGGATTTGTTGTGTGATAAAAAAGTACCACTCAAACTTAAGAAAAAAATTTATAAGATGGTGGTACCTGCAATGCTTTATGAAGCAGAATGTTGGACATTAAAGAGAAGCATAATATTAAGTTAAGTGTTGCTGAGATGGGGATGCTCAGGTGGATGAGTGGATTTACTCTTAGGGACAGGATACGAAGCGAGCATATCCGTGAAGGTTGGAGTAGCTTTAGTAATAGATAAGATTAGAGAGAGTCACCTTAGATGGTTTGGCCATATAAAACGGTGGCCTTCTAAAGACCCTATTAGGAGAGTAGATGTATTAAATTTGGCCTATGTTAAGAAAGGTAGAGGTAGACCTAGAAAGACTTGGTTATAAAATATTAGAAATGACATTTCTTTATTAGATTCAAATAAGCATTTGACTCTTAACATTATACAATGGAGAAAAAAGATTTATGTAGCCGACCCCACATAGTGGGATAAAGGCTTGATGTTGATGTTAGAGGTGGTGGGGCTAGATGGAATATGGATTTTTTTTTGTTCCAAGATTTTTTTATATGATATTACTCATTTTAAGGCATCTGATTTTTTCGTGCTGAAGCTTCTAACTGTTTTTTTTAATGCTGCTGCCCATGGGAGTTCCGTTTGTTATGATAATTTAATTTTTTCTTTGATGGTTATCGTGGTAATTGCATTTCAACTTTTCTTGTTTTCTGTCCCTATATATGTAATCATTCTACAATTGTTTCTAATGATGAGTTTTCGTTGAAGATATCTCTATTGGCTGCAAGAAATGAGAAAGAAAGCGTTCAAATAGTTTTGCGCCCCAAAGTTTCTTGGGCTTGTTCTGGTATTGCTGGTACCGTACAGATGCACTGTACTGACCTGTGCTCCTCTTCTGGTGATAGGTTAGTTTTTTTTCTGGAAAATTTTCTTTTACCCTTATTTTTCATTATTTTTGTTACGATTGTCTTAGCAGGTTGGCAGTGGGTCAGTCCTTAACTTTGCGCCGTGTGGTACCTATCTTAGGTGTGCCTGATGCTCTTGTTCCTCTTGATCTACCGGTCTCTCAAATAAACTTGCTTCCTGGGTATTGGCTTTACATATAATATCTAAAATTGAATCCAGGTGACGATGACCTTTTGAAGCCTTCAGTTTTCCATTAGCGATCTAACAGTTTTTTTTTTTTCCCTCGCACAGAGAAACTACGGCAATCTGGCTTTCTGTTGATGTGCCTCCTGGACAGCCACCTGGTCAATATGAAGGAGTAGTTTCCATTAGTGCTTTGAAGGGAGAGGTGGGGTAAGTCGGCCCATTTAGGGTTGTTTAATCCCACATAGTTAGCTTACTTGGCATATGAATGCAGTATCAAGTGAATATCACTTTTCAGTTAAATAGAATAAAATTCATTTATGAAATTAATACTCTCATTATTATTATTCCAAAATCTAGTTAGTCATTTTACTTGCATTTATTTAAGAGGCATTTATTCAAGAGTAAAGATGCTTACTCGCCAAACAACTTCTTGAAATCGTTTGGCTAACTCACAATCTATGCCTGCAATAGTCTAGCTTATAATTATTTGCCTCGTTAGACTGTGTTTCGTGATTTAGTTGGCATTCTTTGTTAGTTTTATTTATCTCAGTTTGTATGCTGAGGTTTATCATATTTTCTAGTTTCAGATGTACATCACAATCTATGCCTAAATTAGAGAAGTCTGAACTATATAGAGAACTCAAAAGCTGCCTTGATTCAGTTGATCCAGTTGATGGAAGAACAATGGATGAACTGGTAAGTTCGAATTATTTATATTTGATGCAATGGAAATTTTTATTAAATATGTTCACGTGCACTATTAATTGCCTTGTAATATTTAGGTGGAGAGAGAAAAATTCACAACATCAGTTTTGAGAAGAATACTTTTTTCACCAATGTTCCATGAATTTTCCTCTGATAATGGTTCAACTGAAATGATGGATGAGGATGCTTTGACAAATCTATCCGTTTTGTTAAAGATAACCGTTACAGTGTGGGATTTTACCCTTCCAATAACACCTTCCCTTCCAGCGGTAATTGGTGTATCCCACATTACTATCTTCATGTTGTTGGAGCTGCACGGTTTTGTTCAGTTAAATATTTCTTTTTTCATTCTGGTTTTAATAGCGATAATGGTGATTTTTTGCAGTGTCGCATTTTGTTGAGTTCTGATTAGCATTATTGCCAAGGAATATGAACATGTTCTTGTGATAAGGAACGGCTATACTTATAAAATCAGTTGTTAATTTGTGACAAATTCAAAGCATGATTTATTCGTCAAGTCAAAAGTCTCGTCAAAATGCTTATCTTAGAATTCTTTACCCTGTTTTACATAATGAGTAAAATGTTGCATTAACGAGACAATTGAGTATTTCTTGACTTAAAGTTTAGATATCTGAAACTGTGATTGAGGACCGCTTTAGGGTAGAACATGGCACTGATGGCTGGTTTGATGCGTTAGATCAGCATTTCAGGTGGCTTCTTCAGTATAGGATCAGTCCATTCTTTTGTAGATGGGGTGATAGTATGCGCGTCTTAGCTTACACTTGTCCCTGGCGAGGTAATTTGTCACGTCTATTGGCTTATGCTACATGTACTATGATTGGTTTTACTGGAAATGAAAGAGAAATTATTTGGTTGTAAATTTTTTTTTTTTTTTTTGTAACCATAGCATTCCTGAACAATCATTGCTCTGTTTTGTCTAAAATAGCGGATCATCCCAAGTCAGATGAATACTATTCCAATCTAAGATTAGCGGCATATGCTGTACCTTACTATCCCATTCTCTCTGGGTATGCTTTTCACTCTATATGCTTTGCGTGCAAGTTGAGACTGTTGTTGAACTATATAAGGCTATTCTGGTTTTCTTGACATGTAGCTGTAGTAACAGTGATGCAGAAAAAGATTCCTTGAGGAAGGAGGTAGAGATATTGAAGAACAAGGCTCATTGGGGAAAAGCTTACTTTTATTTGTGGGACGAGGTATGGATATTCAATGCAAGCTGTTTTTTATCTTGCTATCATAAAATCTTGTTGATAACCGACTGATGCAGAACCATGAAGTTCATAATTTGCCTAGGCATAATGTGATTAGGTTTCATATTTGTTATTTATATAAAGCATTCCTTTTTTTTTTTTTAAACCTATGCACTTATGCAGTAATTCACCAATTGTTTTACGTTTTACATCATCTTTACTCATCATTAATGATTCGCTAAACATAATGCTTATGTTGCAGCCATTGAACGCGGAGCAGTATGAGGTGATTCGTAGCATGTCTAGGGAAATAAGGACTTATGCGCCGGATGCACGCGTCCTTACGACTTACTACTGCGGTAGGAAAAAGTTGAATGCATTTGTTTACGCTAATGATTCCTTTTTCTTAAAAGATACAATTTCTATCGGGTCTTGCTTTGCTATAAAAAAAAAACTGATAAACTACGTATTTTAAAGTCAACTAGTGAGTATCACGATATATCTATGAAAACGTGGTCTTTTTTTGTTCCAAAATAAAGAAGTCAGTGCTCATATTTATATTTAGAAATATTGGCAAGTGAACTGTGTTCTATGAGTCTAATTTGTTCAAAAAAAAGTTGCTGTACATACTTTTGTTTGAGAAACATCAGTTGTAATGCGATTACTTACTGCTGTGGTGAGAAAAAGTTAATTGCATTTGTCTACACTAATGGTTCCTTTTTTTAAAAGGGGGAGTTTCTACCCCGTGGTTTTTATGTTGACCAAAAAAAAATCTTTTAAGATATGTATTTTAAGTCAACTAGTGAATATCACAATGTGGTCTTTAAAAAAAAGGTTATTGGGCGTATATTTATATTTGGAAATTTTGACAAGAAGTGAGAGGTGGTCTGTGTGAATCTTTTTAACCTTTGCTTTTAACGTGCGCTGGTACAACTTTTGTATGGAAAAAATAAGATGTAAATATTGAGTGGAAATGAATCAAATAAATGAACTCTCTTTTCAGCCTCATTTGGCGTAGCTTGCAGTGATAATCACTATTTTTTAGTTTTTTATTGCACTTGTGAAAGCTTGGATATGAGTAATTCAGTATTATTATACTAGGTATCAGGAAGTGGACTTCTGTTGATAAATTCTCAAAATCAAAACATAAAGATGGGCCAAAAGTGAAAGAGATATTTGAAATATATCTGAAATTAATTTGGTTTTGATTGGTTCAGAAAATTTTGTGGATCATGAGAAAACTCATGGAGATATGCTTGATACTTAAGGTTAACGCTCACATACTATCACAAACTTTTGGCTACTTGGAGGAAAAGTTAGATGATTAATTCAAGGTGTTCTCCATCTTCTTGATTATTAATAACAATTAGATCTTCTCATTACAGAGAGGGTGGGCCTGGATCAGTGGTTAGGTTGTCTTTATTTTGACATAGAGGTCACGGTTTCCAGTCATGAAAATATTCTCTTCAATATAAGGGTAAAGTTGCATAATCAAGCCCTCTCTATACCCTACATGGATGGGAGCTTCATTCATTTACTTGCCAGTCTCAGAGGAAAAATTTTAAATTTTCTCGTTCCACTGTATCATGTTCTACATTATGTGATATTTTGTTACTGTTTTGTTTATCAACAGTGTTCCACCTAGCTAAACTTCTTTTACTCTTTGTTAAAGATTTTGATCAAAATTGCTTCTTAGGGTTGATGCATCTTTTGGAATTTAATGACCTGTGCAGGCCCTAGTGATGTGCATTATGCTCCTGGTACCTTTGAGGCATTCGTTAAAGTTCCAAATCTCTTACGACCCCACACTCAAATATTTTGTACAAGGTATGCACTACCTTTACCATTCCTTCAAGGGTTTTAACTTTTTAGCTCTTGGCTTAACTACGTAGTGGCAGCTACTTTGTACCCTTTTTTTAGCCCCTCTTTTTCTATTTTTCTTTGAAAGAAACCTTAATCTCCATCGTATCATATTTTGATCTAGTTTTGTGTTTCGAAGTATCATACACACCTGAGTGTTGTAAAATATTCTATAGTCCCGGAATAATCCTCATATGTTCTTTGTAAAGAAGCTTTTGTAAAAAATTCTTGTTGTCCATTGTTCTATTAGATAAATGTTTGTAAAACATCCTAAACTGATCATGACCGAAGTTTCACTGCACAATTAATTCCATTGAAGTATCTGCAAATTGGAGAGGCGTCCCGAAACATTGTATATGTCACTAGTTGATTTTAGATGGCTTGGTAGTGATTTCTGGAAGTTCTTTTATAAACTATTATATTTACCTCTCCATCTTCAGTACCAAAGTTTATTAGATAACATAACGTAAAACGCATATTAAGTATTTTTATTCTTCTTTTGCTTTGTTTTGCATATGATTTATATTTACTGAACTTTGTAGCGAGTGGGTTCTTGGAGCTCGAGAGGATTTGGTCAAAGATATTACTGCTGAGTTACGGTCAGAGAATGGTGAGGTAATGCTTTATTACAGATATGCCCCTTCACAGTTTCATCAATTTTCTTATTTAATATTTTGTTTCTCGTACTACCTTTTTTTTTATTGAAAAGTTGGGCGTTGCTCATAATACTTATAATGTTATGAAGTGAATGTCTGCTTTTAGCATTACAATGACTGGAGGTGTCAGTTCACTTATGGCTTTTATTAGAATTGAGATTTTATGGCTCTGGAATTTTATTATTGCGCCATGTTAGGTTTTTTTAGCTTAGGGAATAATCGATTGGTTCTAGAAAAAATGTGTCAGTATCATCATGATTAGGTTTACTCAACTTTTTGTGGTCGGCTCATTTATTCAACAATTTGTTTTTATCAAACATTGCATGTGTCAATCTTAGCTCTCACCTTTGTGCAATTTATAGTGATGCTATTTTTGTTCTCTCTATTCCTTTATATATATATATATATATATATATATATATATATATATATATAGGGAAAGTTACTTTTCATGCTTGATACAATAAGAAATCTGTTTTTTTCCCCTTGATTTTTTGGGCAATTATTCTGCTTCACCTGTTTCTTAATCATATTCTTTTCCCACATTCTTTTCCTTCACTAGCTCAGGTGATGCCTGTGGCCTTGAATGACAAAACACCTACTTTAGTTTCGTGGCAAATGTTGTGCTTATTGGATTCGTGCTTTGATAGAAGTCTCCTTGATTGTCAATGCCCATCTCTTACACCTCCCCACCTCATTTACCCACAATATTCTCCACTGCCTCAGATGGTGGCGATGGCTTTCATGGCAACACACCACAGTATTCTCCACGCAAGACCTTCAGGCTGTGGCTTAAAACAAAGCTTGGTGCCTTGCTGGGATATACCACTCAGTGTAATGCTGTCTTGATCTGCATTAACACGGTTAAAGAGCTCTATCTCTTGCATGAGACCATTCTCATTCTTGGAGAGGATGGATATGCCATCATGGCAGCTAGTGTTTAGAAGTGCAAAGTTTTTTTTTGGTTATGATGCGCAAGACACAAAATGAAGTGGAGTTATTATTAATTAATTATTCAAGACTTGCATTTCATATATATGTGCTATATGTGTATAACACTCTTAAACATTTAAAAAGATTACTACATAAAGTAATAATGTTTGTTAAAAACAATGTCGAAAAAAAAAAAAGTAATAAAATTGTACAATTCTATCACATAATGGTATGAGACATTTAAATAGTAGTGTTGTCTAAAATTAAATTATTTTAATTGTTGTAATCTAATTTAAACTTATGGTATAGAGTCTTAAACCTAATTTGAAGACAATACTTAAAATTCACTTTTCAAATTCTTAGAAATTTCAGTCATTATAATCTTCATCAGCCTTATCCACAATTTATAAATATGAAACATTTTATAAGAAGTAACAAAGTAAATTAATATGAATGGTAGTAAACAAATTCAAATACTTAAAATAGTGATCATTAATATTGAATATGATTGAATTTGTATTCATTTCTTCAGTTTTCAATAGTTTTAGAATTTGTTGTCATCCTATTTTTTATGCTCAACTTTTCTCATTTAGGCTAAAGACCATCTATGGAGGTTATTTCATGAATTAAATAAAAAATATAGAAAATTTTGAATAGTCAAGAATGACATTAAGATGCTTAAAACACCTTGTAGGTAGGTTATAGTATATGCCATGAATAATGATCAATCATTTTTATGCCAAATAGTTGAGGAGGAGAAGTATACACGTATGAAAGTAAGATGTAGAGGGTCATTCTAGAATTAGATTGATAGGAGGGGAAGGGAGTTTGAGCAATCAGATTGATGAGGGAGGGGTGAGGAAGTGCTTAATAGTGAGAACTGAGTCAAAATGGAAAGGGTTAGTCAATCAAAAACCATAATAAGAGTTTAGGTTAGGAATAACCATGATGAAAAGGGGAAAGGGAGGTGACCAATAGTCCTAAATGCTTCATAGTGAAAGGAGTAAGTCTCATATAGCGATTGGTTAAAGAAATCCTCACCGCATCCATGTATGCATCCCTGATCAAGTTCACAAGAAAAAGGGTTAAGAGGGGCATAGTAGACCATAGAGGTTCATCCCATGCATTAATCATCAATCTATGGAGTTAATTAAAAAAAAAATCTTTGGAGTTAATTGAAGAAAAAAAGCATCACTATTGAAGATATCTGATAGCAGGCCCTATTGTCTCATGGTGACATGTTTTGGTCATTAAGAGCTTTGGATAGGTAAGGAGAGAGAAGAATTGCTAATGGAGATGAAATAAAACACTTGGATGCGGGAAATGTGAGTAGCTGTGTAGCTACACTGTGAAGGAGTTAGGAAGAGATGCTAATATGGAGGGTGAGCATTCATGTTGAAAGGGGAGAGTTAGGCGCCTAAAAATCATAATTGAATCATAAAGAAACAGTTGGTTGAAGAAATCATCATGACATAATGCTTCCATCCAAATTAAGTACAAAACCAAAAAGGTTATTAAGGGAGACAAGAAGTCGTAGTGAATTTTGTTTGATGACGTGATGTATAGAAAAAAGTTCTGCATGATTGATAGCGTCATTTGTAAGAAAAATTTACAATTATAGAGAAATTTATGTTGTAGCTAGGAAAGATCCTCTTGCAGCATGATGAAAGCTTGTGAACATTAGGTGCTTTGAATGTTGTTGGATAATAGTGTTAATCATTGATAACCAGATGAGGGAATAATCATCAAGGTGGATGAGATTCAATAAATGTTAGGGTTTCCTTGAAGAAGATGGGTCCTCAATTGGATTTGACATCACTCAAACCAGTGGAGTAGACCCTTTTGGGCCCAGTATCTAGAACTAGTCACGATCAGGATGAGAATCTATGGGAGGCTCACCTGGATCACGCCAATATCCTTCTATATTTGGGTAGCTGAATTAGGAAGGATTATATTGAGGCAATTATGTATCAATTAGAAGTTATTTATTTTTATTAAGACATCTTGTATAGATCTATAAATAGGGATAATTTTCTATAATAATTAGAATGTATTTTTACCATTCTCAAATTCTATGAATTATAACAAAAAGTAATGCTCTTCCTCCTAGGACTGTTTTGAGCATTTTGTAGCAATGCTGCACTAAAACATTGGAGTGAGCGCATGGACACCCTGAAAGAACTCTTTACACAGCTCTTTTGATAAAATTAGAATCTGGGCTTATGGGGTGGTAACCATCGATAAGAATAGGAAATTTGTGACGAGTAACCATTCCATCGCATATGATGAATATGGGATGAGCATAGTTTGTGTAACAAAGGAAATAAAATTAAATAATTCAGTGGTGGATGCATACTTGATTTACTACAGTAATTTTGCTCTCTCACTTTTCCTTTTCTGGTCGAGTAATACTTCATTCATGACAATATCTGGAAGAGGCAAATGTAAGTTTTAGCTCTGTAAAGTTTGAAAGTCAGAGGCTAAATGTGGGTGGAGATGATTTTTAATTCACTTGCTTTGATTCATCGGAAAGCTTTGTTTGTATAGGGTATTTATAGATTAAGTAATTATATTTCTTCTACTGAATTACATGAATTTGTCCCTAAAATTCATATGGCGTGTAGCTCTATTTTTTTGGAAAAAAATTAAGAAGCGAACTGCTTTGTCAGAAAGCTTTGTTTATATAGGGTTTATAGATTAATTAATTATGTTTCTTCTACTGAATTACATGAATTTTTGTCCCTAAATTCATATGGCGTGTAAGCTCAATTTTTTTTTGGTAAAAAATTAAGGAGCGAGCTGCTTTATGTGGTGAGGTGCTATGTTATCTTGCATCTACCATAGTTTCTAGTAGCATATAGTTCGGTCACTCAGTTTTCTCCTTGTCAGGAATGCAGGAATGGTGGACATATGTCTGTATGGGCCCTACTGATCCCCATCCAAATTTGCACCTTGGGATGCGTGGCACACAACATCGTGCCGTGATGTGGAGAGTCTGGAAAGAGGGTGGCACAGGTTTTCTTTATTGGGGTGCAAATTGTTATGAAAAGGCGACGGTGCCCAGTGCTGAGGTAGTTTTCATCAGAAAATAAACAAACAATGTTACTTCTTAAACATATTACTTGGTTATTTATTGATATTGGGTTAGATAAAAATTATGGTACATGCCAGTATTATTTATTTATTTCCACTGCAATATTGGTTTAAGAAAACCTTTTAACTTAGTTATTCAGTTTTGAGAATTGATGAGCTAGAATGCAATATTTTTAATATATAGACTATGTAGACCATTAGGTCTTCAAAACAACCATTTAACAGATTGTAAAAAGAATCTTTTTCTCGGCATTACTAAAGTGCTAGGCCTTAAATGTTTGTCAGGTGGTATCAATTAATTATTTCCAGTAGTGGACTATCAGCTCAACAGGCTATTTTGTAAATGTCTTTTCAAATACAATTTTTACTTCGATGTAGATAAGATTTCGACGAGGTCTGCCTCCAGGTGATGGAGTCTTGTTTTATCCTGGTGAAGTCTTTTCTTCTTCAAATGAGCCAGTTGCTTCAGCCAGGCTTGAGAGGTTGCTTAGTGGTTTGCAGGTATGCTAAATATATTTGATGGGTTGTTTGTTATTTTATAGTTTAATATTATAAGGCTTTATGCCTTACATGCCAAAGTTACTGAAAGTGATGCTCGTCTGATTTGGCCTAATATTTGACTTTTCACCATTATCTAGTTTAGATGCTGTTACGCCGGCCCAGGAGGGGCCGGCTGGACCGGTCCAACCCGGACCGGTCCACTGTTACTCCAGGCGGAGAAACAGAGGGGCGGGCGGAGCGTGAGGTTCACGTGGGCGCTTGGGGGGAGGTTTAGGAGGGAAATTTTGAATGTGAGGGCTGTTTTAGGAAGTTTATTATTATCCTTTATGATTAATTTTGTATAAGGAGGAGTTTAGAGAAAAATTAGGGTTATCTTGAATTTGAGTTTTCTCTTTGAGATCTAGTTTTTGTCTTGGGCTCTTGGCTTTGCCGGAGATCGTTGGAGAGTTCTTCCTTCCTCTCGAATTGAAGGAAAGTTGTATCTTGCAAGTGCTTTTAATCCTCTATTGAAATAAAAGTGTTTGCAATTATTTTTCCTACGTTTCTCCCACGTTTTCTCTCAGATTTTCTCTGGTTTGGGCTGTATTCCTGCTGTGGACAGCAGTTTTTCTTTATTTGATACTTGATTTGGGTTAGGATTGCTTGGGAATACAAGCACTTCCTATCAGATGCCTTGATCTCTTTGTGCATGGATATCATTAGATGATCTAGATCTTTGTATAAGGCTAGAAAACTTGGCATGACATGTTAATTATGGAGCAATGTTCTCAATAATGACTTTTATCTTCTTGGCAACCGTATCTATGAATGAAAGAATTTTCCGAATGCTTGGATGAACATGAGGAAAAGCACGAGTTCATTAATTTGAGGAAATATTGAGTTGGGCTATTAACGAGGATATGCAAACAACATATAAACACAAGAATTAATTTGCCGATCTTGTCACCTACTCCGGCTTTGCTGAGAGAGTTTTAGGTCGATATGGGTCAAATTTTTCATGAGGATTGGATTGCATATTAGAAACTACTTAGAGATTTCAAAAATTTCTTACGAAAATAGATTTAGTTCCAAGTTTTTCATAGAGATAAGCTACTATGATTAATTACCTTTCTTAGTGGCAATAAAGAACTTTAGATTAAAGCTAGTTGTTAAAGTGACATTAAGTGCTTGGTGTATGATAGCAGGAGTTTGATTTTAGAGTTGAAGGCAATTTACTATTGTTAATATAAAGTGAATGGTTGGAGTATAATGACAAACCTAATAAATGTCATATTATCCTATCATCCCTTAATAAAGGTATTCGTCCCAATTGGTCGAAGGATCCTTTTGAACAACTATTAGTTACATCATCTAATTGGATTTTGTAGGCCTGGGATAAATGTTTGTATTATAGAATGAAATTTAAGTCAACTTTAGCTAGCAAAAAGCTTTGTACTCTATCAAATGTATCATACAATTCACCACTCAGGGGATTCAGAGTCATTGGGGAACATCTAGGCTATAAGCATAATCGTAATTTAATTGTTTTATTTTGCAGCAAAAGCACACAATCAAAGGGCCTTGATTATACCGTTATTTAATGGTGGCATTTGGTAATAAAGTCACCTAGTTAGAAGATACTTGCCACATATTTACTAGTGTGATTTTTTTAGAATGAACATAGTGATATATTTGACGTGACATAATTAGAGGATTTCGGTTATAACCATTTTGGCAACGAAATCATTAGGCTAGAGGATATGTGTTACTTATTGGCATGAGATTTTTTTGAGAGTTAAAATAGTGATACAGTTGAATGGGGATGTAAATAAATGACCCGGCCAACCCAACTTGTAATTTATATTTTTTTGGAGTTGTTTGTGGTGCTATTTTTTATTTGATTTGATGTGAAAATTTTTGTTTATTTCACATTTAACTCTTCTTGCACAGTCCAGTTGACTTGTTGGCATTCGACTTTGAAAAATACCAAAATACCAAAAACTTTTATTATCTGTTGTTGAATCTAGAATTGTCCATGAATCACACTCAACTTTATTGAAAATACAAGGTGAAAAAGTGAACAAAGACAGAGAGAGAAGAATTTTAGAGTAACAAGTTCTGAAATTTCTATAAAATAAGTTTGATGACATAAATTTCATAAATTGAGCTCAACCCTCAACTCCCTATTTATAGATTCATATTGGGCCTTTGAACTGGCTATATACATAGCTATATAGAAAATAAGAGAGAATACTATAGTGATGTAGCCGAATTTGAAGGTATGGCTTGATGAAGTTGTTTATTAAGCTCTTATGAAGTCGATGGCTTGGCATGCACTAATTGTCGATTAGCTGAGATGTCAATCATTAATTTTCCCTGAAAACTTGTCTCTCATTTAGCAGTTATTATAGTTTTTTTTTTTTTGGATAGTATCTTATTTATCACCTAAGTATTGGCTGATGTGGATAAGCAAAACAATGTAAGAAGTTAATAATTGTTAGAAAGTACCGTTATATGTAAGTTTAGTAATTGTCTTAATCGTCCTACTATCAGTTCTCGTCTCATTAGTTTGAGTATTTGGGTCAGGTCGTTACACCCTTGGCCCATCTTAAGTAAACTAGGGTCGGCCCCTTGCCTAGGGCCGGCTGAATCGGTACATTATTGACTGGCGGTCTAACAGAAACCCTTTAATTTTCATCCTTTTGAGTAGAAAATCCCTAGAAACCGTGTCAAAATCCTTAAATATATCAAATTTGCACAAGAAAGGCTATCCCTCTTTGTAGAATTGAAATCAAATAAAATTTTAGAGGCAATGAGAATATTATCCGAAACCATTCTATTTTTCATAGAGCCTGCTTGAGCACGATCAATAATAAAGTGCATGATAGGCTTTAGTCTATGGGAAGGATCTTTGCAATGATCTTGTAGAAGGTATTACGAAGAGAGATGGGCTGGTAATCTTTAATATGACTTGCATTTGGATGCTTGGGGATGAGAGATAATCCAGTTGCTTTAACCTTCTTGGGAAGGTAACTCTTGCGGAAAAAGTGATGGACAAATTTGCATACATGAGGACCAGAGACCTCCCAATTGTAAAGTAGAATTCAAAGGAGTAGCCATCAGGCCCAAGGGTGGTGTTCTTGGAGCTAGAGAAGACAACCTTTTTAATGCCGACATTAGAAACGGGGCAATGAAAAGGGGAATCAAATTGTTATGGATTTTCTTGCCTAATGGGAGGGGGTGTTAGAGATAGGAGGGGCATTCAATAGAGTCTGATAATGCCTAATGGAAGCATTTGCAATATCAACATGAGTGTGGAAGGTGCCTTGGTCAGTGGAATTGGGAATTCTTCCTGCCTCTGATTTTTCCATACAAAAACTTCAAGTTAACTTCCCTAACTCGAGCTTGTGAGTCAAACTCATGTCAAAAGTTTGGGGGATGTAACATGGAATCACAACCAGAATAGCAGGTTGGCTTCCAATCGTATTGGACATTTAAATTTTGCAATATTTCAGCAACATTGATTTGATTGTCATAAGGGAGCTTTGAGTTCTTATCTATTTGAATGCAAACTTGGGCAGTAAGGGAGTCAACTACAAGAGGGGTTCCAATGATGTTGCCTATTTTTGAGATTTGGAAAGGGTTCTGAGGGAGCGAAAGTCAAGGTTAGAGAGAGCACCAGGGTGTTGTATCTCGTGAAGAGAGGGATGGCAAAGTAGAAGAGAGCCTCCGATAGAGCCTAAAACAGGGGAGGTGAAGGGGGACCAGACAGCAGGAGGCGGCTAGGATAAACTAAAAATCTTTTAGTAAATTATATCTATTTAAAAAAATGCAAAAGTTGTATTGTCTAAAAAAATGCTTGGTGTTCTTCTAAATGCAGTTGCAAAAAATTGCAAAAAGTCAATTACAATGAAAGCAATTGCAACTACTGTTGAGCTTCCCAAAAAAACTACAAATGGTGAGTTTCACCTATTGGATCTCAATTAATTTAGCCTGTAACCTATTGTTTCTTCTACAAAAAAAAAAAATAAGTTGTTTCTTCTTCAACAAAGCTTCTTCTCCAACTGGACATTGTGATTTCCCCCAAATAGTGGAGCTCTTGCATTGACTTCTCTAGTTTGCCCGTCATTCTTCTTGAAGAGCATCGACTGATCGTTGTGACTTCATCCGGGCTCTCGCAATGACTTTCCCAGTTCGCCCATTGTTCCTCTTGAAGTGCTCCTGCCGACCGCTGTGACTTCGCATAGGCTCCTGCAGTGTTTGTTGTGACTTCATCGAAAAGCTGCCATCGAGTTTGAGTCGAGCTCTCAATCCTGGGACAAGCTAGGCTCAAGTTCATTTCTTTGCTCAATTTTAGCTTGAGCTCAAGTTCGAATCAGTCTTCTAACTGATGAGCTGAGTTAGAGTTTGCTGCTACTTGAGCTCAACTCAACTCGTTTGCACCCATAATTAGATCTAGGTTTTCTTGATATCTAGATGCGCATCAAGTACATAGCTTACTTGCTATCCAATATACTGGAAAAATCTAAGTTCTTCAATCGTTAATAAATGATGTTGATGTGGAATGATTGGAATATTTCTTTCATGTAAAAAACTCATAACATTGCTCTCAGTATATTACTCCCTAAGCCCTCCAGTTTCACTAACCCAGTTTTATATGTTAATTGCTTCCAGGACATTGAATACTTGAAGCTCTACTCTTCAAGATACGGCAGGGAAGGAAGTATAGCTCTTCTGGAAAAAACCGGTGTCTATCTTGGCCCTGAGCGTTACGCAGCTGATCACATACCTGTGGACTTAATGCGAGCTGAGATCTACCACACTTGTCATTCTTAAACTGCCATTTTTTCTCTGCTTTACTGTGATTCTTCCTCCATCTTTTTTCACATCCTTCAGGAACAGTATAATAAGCTTGAATATTAACTTCAATCTTTTTTTTTTAATTATTATTGTTATTAACCATTAGAATAATCTAATGCTGGGATTAATAATTATTAGCTCTCACTTTGTTGGGCATTGTGAATTTTTATGTTATAAGTAATTCTATAGGTTAGAGCACCACATGAAATTATAGTAGGCTATTTTAGTGTTTTGTTGGGTCGACCTCGGTCTCTTTCGATGGAGAAGTTATTTTTCCTGCAACATCTTTATATTTGGTTCTTCTTCAATCTCCTTTTTAGAAGAGAGATTTTTGGATTATCTTTTTAAGTGCTTTTCAACTTTCGGTTAATCCCCCTTTTTGAAGGAGAGGGTATGCCCCAACCACTTTCAATCACAAATCAATTTTGGATCATCCAATTTCTCACCTTTTAGAAAGGGATTGTCTTAATTTTCCTTAATCTTCTTATATTGTTAATTCATTCCATCTTCTTCTTTTCTGACTTTTCTCAATCACTTACCAAAATTTAGTTATTTTAGATTTGATTGCCATTCATCCATCAACTTTTAAGTATTTCAATTTTCTTTTTATTTCAAGGTACATTAAGTTGTTCTTTTACTTCAGATTTGATTTCTTTTACTCTTCTTGGAAGAATAATCATTTCATTTGTTCGTCATCGCCATCTAAAATATAATGTCCAAATTTTTGTCTCTTCTTTCTCGTTTAAGAGCATGCTTATCTTAACTATCCATAGTAGTCATTAAGACTTTGTTTGCAACGACTTTCTTACTTTTTAAAGCAGTTATTTAGTATAAAATTAAGAAACAGTTGAAAAGCTGTTTCAAACTAAGCCTTCGTTTGGGGCGGCTTTCTTATTGCTTTTTAAAGCAGTTTTTTAGTTCAAAAAATAATTTTTTTTATTAAAAAACTGCTTTATGAAGCAGTAAAAAAGTCGTCTCAAATGAAGTCTAAGTCTAAGGCTTCGTTTAGGGTAGCTTCTTTACTATTTCTAAAGCATATTTTTATTGCAAAAAAATTGAGTTCAAGAAATTTTTGTATTAAAATGTTGCAAGGAGAATGCCATCTCAAATGAAGCCTAAAACTCTCAAAAATCATCTTTAGATTGTTTCATTTCTACATACAAGGAATTTAGTTTACAATGAGATCCATACCTCCTTTAAATATTTCACCACCGCTGCCACTTTTGAGAAATTATTTTGTGCAAAGTTCAGAAGGAAAGAATTGTTTGAATTGTTGCATATTTACTGAGTATTTGTAGTTTTATAAATATGCAGTAAATTCGGACGGCTTTCTCCCCATCCAGACTCCGCGCATAATAATTTCTCCCCACTTTCACCTCTATAGAAATAATTAACGTGCAAACGCACTTCCACACTAATTTACTTGTCTCATCTTCATTAGAATAATGGCAACTTGTTTAGATTCTCACTAAACATATACCTATTAGTGGAAATTATTTCATTTAGGTTAAAGATCTTAAGCTCATAAAATCTTAATCAAAAGCATTGCCATCAATGTCTTTTAGCTTCAAGCCCTAACATTTGCAGCTCATTTTGATCTATTAGCTGTGAGGTTTGAAGTTCGAAACTTTTGTATATAATGTGTATATAAATTTGTCGTAATTGATCACTATAACAGTACTAAAAAAACAGCTCTATTATGGCATCAAAAATAGAAGCAAACAGCCAAACCAACCAACAAATATCTTCAGTGGCTTTATTAATGCCACCCATAAACTTCTTAAAAAAGAAAGAAATGAAGGCTTAAAGAGGGGCTGAACCAATTATTTATATATTTTTTATCCCTATCAATATTAGGTTTTGAAAATAACTGATTTTGACAGTCTTATCTTTAATTTTGTCCAATTAAGGGGCAAACAAACCGACTATTTATAATTATATTTTAATGATATAATTGATTAAAAATCATATTTTAATGATATGATTAATTAAAAATCTTTTTTTAAATTAATCATATACTTATAATTTTTTAAGAGTTATGATTGTTGGCTATAGGATTATAAAGTATTTGTGATAAATGATAATAATTTGATCATATTTTAAGTGTTTTATAAAGAAAACAAGACCAATAAACTCTCTTTAGAGTGATGATAACAAATTTGAATTAGGCCTAAATAAGTTCAAAGTTTAGGGCTTAGAGGGATTTATGCACATATCATGATATTATGAATATGCATAACTCATTTTTTTTATTATTTTTACTTTTACTTCTATAACATTTAAAATTTTTAATTACATAAAATTTTAAAAAATATCATTAAAATCAACTTTTTAAAATTAAAATACATCTTTTTATGTATAAATTTGGATGAGATTGTGAAATCGAATAGTTATATTAGTAAATATGAAATTTTAAATATTAGATATACAAATTCAAAAAAAAAAAGTGATATATATGTAAATTTCACTTTATTTTGTTCTCTACTTATTTATGAAATAAATTAATGAAAATAGCATATAAAAGAATGTAATTCAAATATATTTGGATAACTAAGTTTTTTTAACAAATGAGTCTCTATCTTCCTTTTCTAGTACTCTTTTTGATGTAGTTGGCGAGCAGAAGTTAGATATGCAATTGATGAGCTAGGTAAATATGCAATATAACAATATGACATATTTAAATTACAATTACATAAGTTTGAAAATGTTTTTTTTTTTTTTTTTTTTTGTTAATATTCTATGAAAATGACAGTTATTTTGCTAAGGGCATCTCTAAATGAACCTAACAACATTCGTCTATCGCCTGTTTCCAGTTGCTGCAAATCTCCACCTAAATGTCAAACAAGAGCGTATTCTATGAGCAGCGCGAAGTCAATATTGACATCGCATTGTTTAAAACGTGAAAATAATATTTGACTTGCCTCTCAGTTGGACTGTCACAAATACTGCAAATACGAGAATGCAGTTCCGTTGGAGATGACCTAAGGTGCAAAAGTATCTCTCACGAATTTGTGTCATAAACATAATTTTTAAGTAATTTTGGAAGATTTTTTTTTCAATTTTTTTCTAGTAAGCAAGTTAATCATGAAAAAAAGATAAAAATTAATAAGTTTGAGTCCAAGTCCACAATAAAAAGTGTTCGTGTCATATCTCCGTTTCAATCCAATCTAATCCAATCTAATCCAATCCAATCCAATCAAAAGATGAACCAAAAGATAAATTATTCTTATTTTTCACGAGTTCATTGACCTAATGCAAAATTCACATTTTTTAGCATTTAAATTTAAAAAATAAGAATAATATTATAGTTTTTAATATACAAAATGAATATCATGTTCCAAAATTTTGTATAAGTATATTCTAATAAAAACTTTAAGTCATTAAGGCTTCATTTAGGATAGCAATCTAACTATTTTACTTTTAAGATTGTAATCGTAGTTTCTATTTCACCACTTTTTTTTTAGCTTTTAGATAATTTTTATGATAAATAATTAGGCTTCATTTGGGACAGCTTTTTTACTGCTTCTCAAAGCTGCTTTCTACTACATTTTAATTTTTGTACTAGAAAGTAACTTTAAGAAGCATGAAGAAAACCATCACAAATGAAGCCTTACTTTCTACAGCAGTTTTCAAAAGAATTACTTTCTACACAATAGTTTTATAATCATATTTATAAAAAGTTGCAGCTATCCTAAACGGATCCTAAATCTATATTTAAATAAATATAATATAAAAAATAGGATTAATATATATCATACTAATTTTAAAATAAATCTAATAAACTTTAAATTTTGATTTACATACATAACACTTTATTTAATACTATTTATATATCTAACACCTAAAACATTAATATTACATATCTATCGCTTATAGAACAAAATTAGGTGCATGGAATGAAATATTAAAGTTTATAGTATGAATGATATAAATGAATTATATGAGTGATATATTTAATATTAAAGTTGTATATGAGTGATAGACATATAATATTTATATTTTGAATGTTAAATATGTAAATAACATAAAATAAAATGATATATATGTAAATTTCCCTTAAAAAAAATTAGCTACTTTAAACGCACAAACCCTCCCCTTACGCTATCGCTGATCACAGCTCATTGCAGCCTGAAGAAAGGGACATTAACATAGCTTTTTTTATTTATAATTTAATGATATAATCACTAATTTTTAATAATTTTCAAATTGGTACAGGCGATATACTTTTTTAAATAATTGTTATGTCTCTAAGAATATTCTAGAAGATCTGATGGGATATCTCACTCGGTTTCAGCTGTCAAAGGCTCTTCTGTAATTATCGTTCTTAATTATAAAAATGATCTTAGGGATAAGTTATCAATAAGATTCGGTAATTGACCAAAGATAAAATAAAAAATACTTAGTGTACTTTTTGATCATTAAATAAGTGATTAGACTAAGATTTTTAATTAGTTAGGGTTAATCACATGGTTATGCAATGCATGAATCGAAAGGCTAAAGAGAAGTCGCAATCTGCAATCTATATTAGAATTTTTGGTTAGTTTAATCTGTCATTAAATTATTAATTAATACAGTGCAGAAAATACAAAATTTTTTATTTTTTATTTTAGGAATATAATTAAATATTAATAATATGTAGTCATATTTTAAAAAAAAATATTAATAAAACAAATTATTTAATCATTTTCTTAACTACATTTTTTAACTGTGGCTATTGCTTATTTGAAGAGAATTTTGATAAGTTTTATGCTTCCTTTAGAACGAAAAATTATTAGGTGTGGAGTGTGCACCGTCCGCACAAGTACTGGGTATCCAGCGGTACCGAGTGCCAGTACCTAGCTGGGTATAGTGCTTGTGCGGACGGTTCTCCCCGTTCGCACTCTGTACCTAATATTCTCTCCTTTAGAACAGCTTTTGACCACTTGTTTTTCGTTGTTTTTAAGGTATTTTTTAGCTTCCTTAGGGATGACTTTCTTACTTCTTTTTTAAAGCAATTTTTTAGTAAAAAATAATAATAAAGTCATCCCAAACAAAGCCTTTACTTTTCACTAAAAATTTGTTTTAAAAAATAGAGGCAAAGTTGTCCCAAACGAAGATTTTTAGACTTCCTTTGTAACAACTTTCTTACTATTTTTTAAAATAAAATTCTAGTTAAAAATGTATAGTCATAAAAATTTTTGAATTAGAAAATGAAGACTTGGGTTTTGTTTGAGTCAACTTTCTTAATGCTTTTTAAAAT